CCTGCGTCTCGTCCTGTCTCGCCTGTTCGTACTGCTCGTCGCGTTCCTCGTCCACGTCCTCCTCCTGTCCCCGGCACGCACGCTACGGCACTTCGTCCTTCCTCTGTTCCACTGCGTGTTCCTCTGCCGCCTCCTCCTGCGTCCTCTCTTCCTGCCGTCCCTAACCCTCAGTCTGACCGCGCTCGTGCTGCCAGTCTCACTGTCTCTCGTCTCCTCGCCACTGTTGTCACTGACCCTTCTTTTGAGTCAACTGCTGCGTCTGCCCTCGTTGCTGAGTTGGTTGATTATGCTGCTGCCTGTCGTCTACACTACGCCACTGCTCTTGTTGCTGAGTCTGAGTCTGCCAGTCCTCCGTTCGTCGAATGTGAGTGTGCTCTTGGCACGAACGTCCTTGAGGATAGACATGAGGACTTTGAGTGTCTTGCAGCTACTGTACCTCGTTTCGCTTCCATCCTGCTTGCCCTTGAGGGAGACCCGGATGCACCAGACATCCGGACCCCGCGCTCTTACGCAGAGGCGATTACGAGTCCTTACTCCTCCCAGTGGCAGGCAGCCATGGATGCCGAGATGGCATCCTAGAAGTCCACAGGCACCTACGTCGACGCAATTCCCCCGTCTCGGGCGAACATAGTCGATGGCATGTGGAATTTCAAGGTGAAGCGGCCGCCGGGTTCTCCGCCTGCCTTCAAGGCGCGTTACGTTGCTCGAGGCTTCAGTCAGCGACAGGGAGTCGACTACTTCCAGACCTTCTCCCCCACCCCGAAGATGACCACACTTCGGGTGTTTCTTTACGTCGCTGCTCAGCGTGACAAGGAGTTGCACTGCGGACTTCAGTATAGCTTTCTTGTAGGGCAGCCTACACGAGGAGATCTGGCTGCGCCGCCCACCTGGCTTCACTGGGTCATTTCCTACAGGTACCCAGTGGAGCCTCCGGCGGCCAGTCTACGGTCTTCGCCAGGCGCCTCGCGAGTGGCACGATACACTGAGGACTACGCTTGCGGCTCTTGGGTTTGCTCCTTCTACTGCTGACCCGTCGCTGTTTCTACGCATTGACACCTCGCTGCCGCTGTTCTACGTCCTCGTCTACGTCGACGACCTCGTCTTTGCCACTGCTGACACTGAGTCATTGACCCTTGTGAAGTTGGAGCTGCAGAAGAGACACACATGCACTGACCTGGGTGAACTGCGCAGCTATCTTGGCTTGCAGATCACCCGGGACAGAGCATGGCGCACCATCACCCTGACTCAGTCACACATGGTGCACCAGGTCCTTCAGCGATTCGGCTTCCAGTTCTCCTCGCCACAGCCCACTCCTCTGTCTACCGGCCACTCGCTCTCAGATCCACCTTCGGACGAGTCCGTAGAGCCGAGTGGTCCGTACCCATAGCTTGTGGGTTGCCTCATGTACCTGATGACGTGCACTCGACCTGACCTCGCGTACTCTCTCAGCCTCCTGGCTTGCTACGTGGCTCCCGGCAGTCACCGAAAGGTGCAATGGGATGCTGCGAAGAGGGTACTGCGTTACTTGTGCAGTACGTCGGGCATGGGGCTCGTGCTTGGAGGACGGGGTCCAGTTGTCCTCACTGGTCCCGCAGACGCTTCTTGGGTTGACAACTCAGCTACGCAGCGGTCGTCACAGGGTTACACCTTCGGCCTTGGTTCTGGCTCTGTTTCCTAGCGGTGTACCCGCTCGTCTTTGGTTCTCAGCTCCAGTTGTGAGGCTGAGATCTACGCAGGGGCCATGGCTGCACAGGAGCTACGCTGGCTCACCTACCTGCTGATTGACTTGGGAGAGCAGCCTCGTTCGCCTCCAGTTCTGTACGTAGACAACAAGGCCATGATTGCCTTGTGTCAGGAGCATGGACTAGAGCACTGAACGAAGCACATCGCTCTGCGATACTTCCTTGCTCGAGAGTTGCAGCAGCGTGGTCAGCTTCGTGTTGCGTAGGTGGCCACTAGGGCCAACTTTGCTGATATATTCACCAAGGCACTTCGCATGGTGATCATCAGCGCTTCTCTACTGTGTTAGGTCTTGTGCCTACTTTGCCTCACTTGCTCACTGCGTGACTTTGCTTGTACTGTGATCTATATATATACCTGCATGCTTGCACTTGCTAGGGTATGATCACTGTAATGTTTGTTCTCTTTTATATAACTCTGCATGTGAACTGGCCTTGTGGCCCTTTGCTTGTGCTCGAACTGTGTGGTGACTTTGTGATCCACCCTGAGCTTGCTTTGCTTTTCTTGACTGGTCTTGTGACCACTTGTTCTCCCCCACTTTGCCTATGGGGGTGTGTCAAACTTATATATAGCTTACATTGTGTAGGTTGTAGTGGGGTAGCTCATAAGGGGTACAACCCAATTAGGGTTAGTACTTGTACCCAACTCTTTGCTAGTTCATTCATTCTTGTTCGTTAGTTCTTGACAAACTCTAGGGAATCTGAATAACACTTGACCGAAACAGCGGTTCAAGCATATATGGAAAACCTGGCTCTACGAGCAGGCCCATAACCAGTGGATGGGGTTGACCCTGGTGGTAATGTGCTGCACCATGCACAAAGCACATGTCCTAAGAAGCACTCTAGGGCAACGAGGACATTGCCACCTAGGGGTGGAGTGCAACGTATTGCCTTACTCCCTACCTAGCGACCTACCACTTCTAAAGCAATTGTCGAGATATCTCTCGATGGGAATTGAGCTACGTGTGGTTGAAGGTTGGATTGGGAGAGAAAGGTTGGCTTGGGGTTTCCAACCCTCAACTAAGAGGCTTGGGAAATTCCAACCCTTCAAAGTGAAAACCAAAGTGTTGGATTTCCAACCAATCAGAAATTGGCAGTTCATTGTAACAATCTACTCAATAAAAATTACATCCATACAATGGTTCTAGGTTGGGTTTTCCCAACCGAAATATAATTGTCGCATAGGCTCCAAGCCTAGGAACTTCCCCACCATGGAACCATAGTTGGGACAGTTCTCGAAGGGGTGTATTGGAGGGGGTCTGAGCTAGCAAGCTCACAAGCAATCGGATAGGAGACACAGGGCACATGGCGACAGATGTATGAAAAGGCCGGGAATGAGACGAGAGTAAGCAGCAGGAGTATTTGTGACTCAACTACAGGAAACACATTCGACAGTTGTGACAGGTGACGTTGGCAGAGGGATGCATGTGACAGGAGGGTGAGAACGAGAGGGTGAAGGGCATAAGATGACTAGTGGTGGGAGAAAGGGCACGGTGACTGGGTTGGCAGAGCAGCAGCAGGCGGGCCTATCAGCAGCGCAGTGTGGCAAGAGGAGGTCAGCGAGGTAGATGATCTGCACCTGGTGGGTGGCGCATGGGCAGAGGGGGGATGGGCAGGGGGAAGGATGGGCAAGGGGAGGATGGGCAGGGGGAGGATGGGCAGGGAGAAGAATGGGCAGGGATGAGTGACTAATACGCACGTTGCATAGTTGGGACAGTTCCCAAAGGGGTGTATTGGAGGGGGTCTGAGCTAGCAAGCTCATCTCAACCTCCCAACTTCAACTAATCAATTAGAAATGTGATTATTTGTCAAAGTTATTTTGGCTCTCTCACAAGCTTCCCTACACAACTCTCTCGCGTTTCACAACAAGAGGTTCAAGAAGACTTTCCTACAACAACCCAAGACCTTCTTAGAGGCGTAGCTAGAGTTTATATTTGTACTTGGGCCTTTATATAAACCGTGTAAACTGTATTATTAGGGCCTTGGGTATTATAGGCACGGAGTCGACTCTCTGATTGGGCGATGCCTCGTGCGGGTATGCGACATGTGAAAGGCTCTTGGACTGTGAATCTGCACAAGAGACAGGCTAAACTCCTTAGGACAAGTCGTGTTTGATTGCCTGCCAAAACGTGTTGCGGCAAGGCGAATGACTGCTGGTAGGGCGGGTTGTTCATCCGCGGTTTAGGCGATTCAGGGTTTAGGCGATCCAGGTGATTCAAATTGTTGTACTACGTCGGAGTTTGGCTTAGAATGACGTTCTCGGAGCGTCTTCAATGGCAACGGCTCGTACTTGTTACATATTCTTGCTAAGCACACATCCTCATAGTCGTGACTGAAATGAACATGTTTCGCCATGACATTACACACGCGATGCTCGCTAGTCTTGCCAGCACACTCGAGGTAGATTAGTAGGAACACAAGGATTCTTCATGCATCTTGCACTTTGTTCATGCACATCTAGAAGAATGGCCTAGTCAATGGGCGTTTGACTATTGGGGGCGGTGTTGGAACTCTGAAGAAGCCTGCCAGAACTGATCTGATGGAAAGCCGAGGAAAAGTGGTCTAGGAGATTCGAGGGTGAATAACCTGGCAATGTCATTTCTTAGTGATACAAGATAATATTTCTGGTTACTTTAAGTGGAATAATGTGCTCTATACCTGGTAACTCATCAATGTAGAAAATGCTGTAGTTTACAGCTGAATTGGAACCTGAAACTTTGGGCTTCGCACCACATTTCCACTGTGCAAATAAATTCGACAATGATGGAGGCTGGTTGACAGATTTTACCAGCAACTCCCTCTGCAAGAGTCTTCACTGCGACCCAGCAAGAACCTGTCAGCGCAGCTTTCAGAGCCCAGATCCTAGCAAGAACTGTTGTTATGCATCCACATAGGAGCCGCTGAACATGCCAGTCGTGCCGACCACTTTGGTCCTCAGCTGTGGCTGAATGAGCGCCTGTGGGTGCTGCAACTGCTGCCGCGCGTGCTCCAACGCCCATGCCACCTGGTGGGGCTCGGTGGTGGTGTTGGATTCACACAGGACAGGCATGCGAAAGAGAGACGAGTTTGGACTGGAGAAAGCCGGCCATACGGTCATGCCAGACTGCTCCCAATGAGGGTATGTGTGGTGTGGATGCGTGAGTGCGTGTGTGCGTGAGTGCGTGCGTGCATGGGTGCGTGCGCATGTGCGTGTGTCCGTGGGTGTGTGAGTGCGTGATGCGTGCAAGGAGCATACAGTGGGGAAGGCAAGGTCGTGGAAGGTCACAGGGAGCGACGCACCTTGAGGGAAGCACAGGGAGCGACGCACCTTGAGGGAAGCACAGGGAGCGACGCACCTTGAGGGAAGCACAGGGAGCGACGCACCTTGAGGGAAGCACAGGGAGCGACGCACCTTGAGGGAAGCACAGGGAGCGACGCACCTTGAGGGAAGCACAGGGAGCGACGCACCTTGAGGGAAGCACAGGGAGCGACGCACCTTGAGGGAAGCACAGGGAGCGACGCACCTTGAGGGAAGCACAGGGAGCGACGCACCTTGAGGGAAGCACAGGGAGCGACGCACCTTGAGGGAAGCACAGGGAGCGACGCACCTTGAGGGAAGCACAGGGAGCGACGCACCTTGAGGGAAGCCCAGGGAGCGACGCACCTTGAGGGAAGCACAGGGAGCGACGCACCTTGAGGGAAGCACAGGGAGCGACGCACCTTGAGGGAAGCACAGGGAGCGACGCACCTTGAGGGAAGCACAGGGAGCGACGCACCTTGAGGGAAGCACAGGGAGCGACGCACCTTGAGGGAAGCACAGGGAGCGACGCACCTTGAGGGAAGCACAGGGAGCGACGCACCTTGAGGGAAGCACAGGGAGCGACGCACCTTGAGGGAAGCACAGGGAGCGACGCACCTTGAGGGAAGCACAGGGAGCGACGCACCTTGAGGGAAGCACAGGGAGCGACGCACCTTGAGGGAAGCACAGGGAGCGACGCACCTTGAGGGAAGCACAGGGAGCGACGCACCTTGAGGGAAGCACAGGGAGCGACGCACCTTGAGGGAAGCACAGGGAGCGACGCACCTTGAGGGAAGCACAGGGAGCGACGCACCTTGAGGGAAGCACAGGGAGCGACGCACCTTGAGGGAAGCACAGGGAGCGACGCACCTTGAGGGAAGCACAGGGAGCGACGCACCTTGAGGGAAGCACAGGGAGCGACGCACCTTGAGGGAAGCACAGGGAGCGACGCACCTTGAGGGAAGCACAGGGAGCGACGCACCTTGAGGGAAGCACAGGGAGCGACGCACCTTGAGGGAAGCACAGGGAGCGACGCACCTTGAGGGAAGCACAGGGAGCGACGCACCTTGAGGGAAGCACAGGGAGCGACGCACCTTGAGGGAAGCACAGGGAGCGACGCACCTTGAGGGAAGCACAGGGAGCGACGCACCTTGAGGGAAGCACAGGGAGCGACGCACCTTGAGGGAAGCACAGGGAGCGACGCACCTTGAGGGAAGCACAGGGAGCGACGCACCTTGAGGGAAGCACAGGGAGCGACGCACCTTGAGGGAAGCACAGGGAGCGACGCACCTTGAGGGAAGCACAGGGAGCGACGCACCTTGAGGGAAGCACAGGGAGCGACGCACCTTGAGGGAAGCACAGGGAGCGACGCACCTTGAGGGAAGCACAGGGAGCGACGCACCTTGAGGGAAGCACAGGGAGCGACGCACCTTGAGGGAAGCACAGGGAGCGACGCACCTTGAGGGAAGCACAGGGAGCGACGCACCTTGAGGGAAGCCCAGGGAGCGACGCACCTTGAGGGAAGCCCAGGGAGCGACGCACCTTGAGGGAAGCACAGGGAGCGACGCACCTTGAGGGAAGCACAGGGAGCGACGCACCTTGAGGGAAGCCCAGGGAGCGACGCACCTTGAGGGAAGCCCAGGGAGCGACGCACCTTGAGGGAAGCCCAGGGAGCGACGCACCTTGAGGGAAGCACAGGGAGCGACGCACCTTGAGGGAAGCCCAGGGAGCGACGCACCTTGAGGGAAGCCCAGGGAGCGACGCACCTTGAGGGAAGCACAGGGAGCGACGCACCTTGAGGGAAGCACAGGGAGCGACGCACCTTGAGGGAAGCACAGGGAGCGACGCACCTTGAGGGAAGCACAGGGAGCGACGCACCTTGAGGGAAGCACAGGGAGCGACGCACCTTGAGGGAAGCACAGGGAGCGACGCACCTTGAGGGAAGCACAGGGAGCGACGCACCTTGAGGGAAGCACAGGGAGCGACGCACCTTGAGGGAAGCCCAGGGAGCGACGCACCTTGAGGGAAGCACAGGGAGCGACGCACCTTGAGGGAAGCCCAGGGAGCGACGCACCTTGAGGGAAGCACAGGGAGCGACGCACCTTGAGGGAAGCCCAGGGAGCGACGCACCTTGAGGGAAGCACAGGGAGCGACGCACCTTGAGGGAAGCCCAGGGAGCGACGCACCTTGAGGGAAGCACAGGGAGCGACGCACCTTGAGGGAAGCCCAGGGAGCGACGCACCTTGAGGGAAGCACAGGGAGCGACGCACCTTGAGGGAAGCACAGGGAGCGACGCACCTTGAGGGAAGCACAGGGAGCGACGCACCTTGAGGGAAGCACAGGGAGCGACGCACCTTGAGGGAAGCACAGGGAGCGACGCACCTTGAGGGAAGCACAGGGAGCGACGCACCTTGAGGGAAGCACAGGGAGCGACGCACCTTGAGGGAAGCACAGGGAGCGACGCACCTTGAGGGAAGCACAGGGAGCGACGCACCTTGAGGGAAGCACAGGGAGCGACGCACCTTGAGGGAAGCACAGGGAGCGACGCACCTTGAGGGAAGCACAGGGAGCGACGCACCTTGAGGGAAGCACAGGGAGCGACGCACCTTGAGGGAAGCACAGGGAGCGACGCACCTTGAGGGAAGCACAGGGAGCGACGCACCTTGAGGGAAGCACAGGGAGCGACGCACCTTGAGGGAAGCACAGGGAGCGACGCACCTTGAGGGAAGCACAGGGAGCGACGCACCTTGAGGGAAGCACAGGGAGCGACGCACCTTGAGGGAAGCACAGGGAGCGACGCACCTTGAGGGAAGCACAGGGAGCGACGCACCTTGAGGGAAGCACAGGGAGCGACGCACCTTGAGGGAAGCACAGGGAGCGACGCACCTTGAGGGAAGCACAGGGAGCGACGCACCTTGAGGGAAGCACAGGGAGCGACGCACCTTGAGGGAAGCACAGGGAGCGACGCACCTTGAGGGAAGCACAGGGAGCGACGCACCTTGAGGGAAGCACAGGGAGCGACGCACCTTGAGGGAAGCACAGGGAGCGACGCACCTTGAGGGAAGCACAGGGAGCGACGCACCTTGAGGGAAGCACAGGGAGCGACGCACCTTGAGGGAAGCACAGGGAGCGACGCACCTTGAGGGAAGCACAGGGAGCGACGCACCTTGAGGGAAGCACAGGGAGCGACGCACCTTGAGGGAAGCACAGGGAGCGACGCACCTTGAGGGAAGCACAGGGAGCGACGCACCTTGAGGGAAGCACAGGGAGCGACGCACCTTGAGGGAAGCACAGGGAGCGACGCACCTTGAGGGAAGCACAGGGAGCGACGCACCTTGAGGGAAGCACAGGGAGCGACGCACCTTGAGGGAAGCACAGGGAGCGACGCACCTTGAGGGAAGCACAGGGAGCGACGCACCTTGAGGGAAGCACAGGGAGCGACGCACCTTGAGGGAAGCACAGGGAGCGACGCACCTTGAGGGAAGCACAGGGAGCGACGCACCTTGAGGGAAGCACAGGGAGCGACGCACCTTGAGGGAAGCACAGGGAGCGACGCACCTTGAGGGAAGCACAGGGAGCGACGCACCTTGAGGGAAGCACAGGGAGCGACGCACCTTGAGGGAAGCACAGGGAGCGACGCACCTTGAGGGAAGCACAGGGAGCGACGCACCTTGAGGGAAGCACAGGGAGCGACGCACCTTGAGGGAAGCACAGGGAGCGACGCACCTTGAGGGAAGCACAGGGAGCGACGCACCTTGAGGGAAGCACAGGGAGCGACGCACCTTGAGGGAAGCACAGGGAGCGACGCACCTTGAGGGAAGCACAGGGAGCGACGCACCTTGAGGGAAGCACAGGGAGCGACGCACCTTGAGGGAAGCACAGGGAGCGACGCACCTTGAGGGAAGCACAGGGAGCGACGCACCTTGAGGGAAGCACAGGGAGCGACGCACCTTGAGGGAAGCACAGGGAGCGACGCACCTTGAGGGAAGCACAGGGAGCGACGCACCTTGAGGGAAGCACAGGGAGCGACGCACCTTGAGGGAAGCACAGGGAGCGACGCACCTTGAGGGAAGCACAGGGAGCGACGCACCTTGAGGGAAGCCCAGGGAGCGACGCACCTTGAGGGAAGCACAGGGAGCGACGCACCTTGAGGGAAGCCCAGGGAGCGACGCACCTTGAGGGAAGCACAGGGAGCGACGCACCTTGAGGGAAGCACAGGGAGCGACGCACCTTGAGGGAAGCCCAGGGAGCGACGCACCTTGAGGGAAGCACAGGGAGCGACGCACCTTGAGGGAAGCACAGGGAGCGACGCACCTTGAGGGAAGCCCAGGGAGCGACGCACCTTGAGGGAAGCACAGGGAGCGACGCACCTTGAGGGAAGCACAGGGAGCGACGCACCTTGAGGGAAGCCCAGGGAGCGACGCACCTTGAGGGAAGCACAGGGAGCGACGCACCTTGAGGGAAGCCCAGGGAGCGACGCACCTTGAGGGAAGCACAGGGAGCGACGCACCTTGAGGGAAGCCCAGGGAGCGACGCACCTTGAGGGAAGCACAGGGAGCGACGCACCTTGAGGGAAGCACAGGGAGCGACGCACCTTGAGGGAAGCACAGGGAGCGACGCACCTTGAGGGAAGCCCAGGGAGCGACGCACCTTGAGGGAAGCCCAGGGAGCGACGCACCTTGAGGGAAGCCCAGGGAGCGACGCACCTTGAGGGAAGCCCAGGGAGCGACGCACCTTGAGGGAAGCACAGGGAGCGACGCACCTTGAGGGAAGCCCAGGGAGCGACGCACCTTGAGGGAAGCCCAGGGAGCGACGCACCTTGAGGGAAGCCCAGGGAGCGACGCACCTTGAGGGAAGCCCAGGGAGCGACGCACCTTGAGGGAAGCACAGGGAGCGACGCACCTTGAGGGAAGCCCAGGGAGCGACGCACCTTGAGGGAAGCACAGGGAGCGACGCACCTTGAGGGAAGCACAGGGAGCGACGCACCTTGAGGGAAGCACAGGGAGCGACGCACCTTGAGGGAAGCCCAGGGAGCGACGCACCTTGAGGGAAGCCCAGGGAGCGACGCACCTTGAGGGAAGCACAGGGAGCGACGCACCTTGAGGGAAGCCCAGGGAGCGACGCACCTTGAGGGAAGCCCAGGGAGCGACGCACCTTGAGGGAAGCCCAGGGAGCGACGCACCTTGAGGGAAGCCCAGGGAGCGACGCACCTTGAGGGAAGCACAGGGAGCGACGCACCTTGAGGGAAGCACAGGGAGCGACGCACCTTGAGGGAAGCACAGGGAGCGACGCACCTTGAGGGAAGCACAGGGAGCGACGCACCTTGAGGGAAGCACAGGGAGCGACGCACCTTGAGGGAAGCACAGGGAGCGACGCACCTTGAGGGAAGCACAGGGAGCGACGCACCTTGAGGGAAGCACAGGGAGCGACGCACCTTGAGGGAAGCCCAGGGAGCGACGCACCTTGAGGGAAGCCCAGGGAGCGACGCACCTTGAGGGAAGCCCAGGGAGCGACGCACCTTGAGGGAAGCACAGGGAGCGACGCACCTTGAGGGAAGCCCAGGGAGCGACGCACCTTGAGGGAAGCCCAGGGAGCGACGCACCTTGAGGGAAGCCCAGGGAGCGACGCACCTTGAGGGAAGCCCAGGGAGCGACGCACCTTGAGGGAAGCACAGGGAGCGACGCACCTTGAGGGAAGCACAGGGAGCGACGCACCTTGAGGGAAGCACAGGGAGCGACGCACCTTGAGGGAAGCACAGGGAGCGACGCACCTTGAGGGAAGCCCAGGGAGCGACGCACCTTGAGGGAAGCCCAGGGAGCGACGCACCTTGAGGGAAGCCCAGGGAGCGACGCACCTTGAGGGAAGCCCAGGGAGCGACGCACCTTGAGGGAAGCACAGGGAGCGACGCACCTTGAGGGAAGCACAGGGAGCGACGCACCTTGAGGGAAGCACAGGGAGCGACGCACCTTGAGGGAAGCACAGGGAGCGACGCACCTTGAGGGAAGCACAGGGAGCGACGCACCTTGAGGGAAGCACAGGGAGCGACGCACCTTGAGGGAAGCACAGGGAGCGACGCACCTTGAGGGAAGCACAGGGAGCGACGCACCTTGAGGGAAGCACAGGGAGCGACGCACCTTGAGGGAAGCCCAGGGAGCGACGCACCTTGAGGGAAGCCCAGGGAGCGACGCACCTTGAGGGAAGCCCAGGGAGCGACGCACCTTGAGGGAAGCACAGGGAGCGACGCACCTTGAGGGAAGCCCAGGGAGCGACGCACCTTGAGGGAAGCCCAGGGAGCGACGCACCTTGAGGGAAGCCCAGGGAGCGACGCACCTTGAGGGAAGCCCAGGGAGCGACGCACCTTGAGGGAAGCACAGGGAGCGACGCACCTTGAGGGAAGCACAGGGAGCGACGCACCTTGAGGGAAGCACAGGGAGCGACGCACCTTGAGGGAAGCACAGGGAGCGACGCACCTTGAGGGAAGCCCAGGGAGCGACGCACCTTGAGGGAAGCCCAGGGAGCGACGCACCTTGAGGGAAGCCCAGGGAGCGACGCACCTTGAGGGAAGCCCAGGGAGCGACGCACCTTGAGGGAAGCACAGGGAGCGACGCACCTTGAGGGAAGCACAGGGAGCGACGCACCTTGAGGGAAGCACAGGGAGCGACGCACCTTGAGGGAAGCACAGGGAGCGACGCACCTTGAGGGAAGCACAGGGAGCGACGCACCTTGAGGGAAGCACAGGGAGCGACGCACCTTGAGGGAAGCACAGGGAGCGACGCACCTTGAGGGAAGCACAGGGAGCGACGCACCTTGAGGGAAGCCCAGGGAGCGACGCACCTTGAGGGAAGCCCAGGGAGCGACGCACCTTGAGGGAAGCCCAGGGAGCGACGCACCTTGAGGGAAGCCCAGGGAGCGACGCACCTTGAGGGAAGCCCAGGGAGCGACGCACCTTGAGGGAAGCCCAGGGAGCGACGCACCTTGAGGGAAGCACAGGGAGCGACGCACCTTGAGGGAAGCACAGGGAGCGACGCACCTTGAGGGAAGCACAGGGAGCGACGCACCTTGAGGGAAGCACAGGGAGCGACGCACCTTGAGGGAAGCACAGGGAGCGACGCACCTTGAGGGAAGCACAGGGAGCGACGCACCTTGAGGGAAGCCCAGGGAGCGACGCACCTTGAGGGAAGCCCAGGGAGCGACGCACCTTGAGGGAAGCCCAGGGAGCGACGCACCTTGAGGGAAGCCCAGGGAGCGACGCACCTTGAGGGAAGCCCAGGGAGCGACGCACCTTGAGGGAAGCCCAGGGAGCGACGCACCTTGAGGGAAGCCCAGGGAGCGACGCACCTTGAGGGAAGCACAGGGAGCGACGCACCTTGAGGGAAGCCCAGGGAGCGACGCACCTTGAGGGAAGCACAGGGAGCGACGCACCTTGAGGGAAGCCCAGGGAGCGACGCACCTTGAGGGAAGCCCAGGGAGCGACGCACCTTGAGGGAAGCCCAGGGAGCGACGCACCTTGAGGGAAGCACAGGGAGCGACGCACCTTGAGGGAAGCCCAGGGAGCGACGCACCTTGAGGGAAGCACAGGGAGCGACGCACCTTGAGGGAAGCACAGGGAGCGACGCACCTTGAGGGAAGCACAGGGAGCGACGCACCTTGAGGGAAGCACAGGGAGCGACGCACCTTGAGGGAAGCACAGGGAGCGACGCACCTTGAGGGAAGCACAGGGAGCGACGCACCTTGAGGGAAGCCCAGGGAGCGACGCACCTTGAGGGAAGCCCAGGGAGCGACGCACCTTGAGGGAAGCCCAGGGAGCGACGCACCTTGAGGGAAGCACAGGGAGCGACGCACCTTGAGGGAAGCCCAGGGAGCGACGCACCTTGAGGGAAGCCCAGGGAGCGACGCACCTTGAGGGAAGCCCAGGGAGCGACGCACCTTGAGGGAAGCCCAGGGAGCGACGCACCTTGAGGGAAGCACAGGGAGCGACGCACCTTGAGGGAAGCACAGGGAGCGACGCACCTTGAGGGAAGCACAGGGAGCGACGCACCTTGAGGGAAGCACAGGGAGCGACGCACCTTGAGGGAAGCCCAGGGAGCGACGCACCTTGAGGGAAGCCCAGGGAGCGACGCACCTTGAGGGAAGCCCAGGGAGCGACGCACCTTGAGGGAAGCCCAGGGAGCGACGCACCTTGAGGGAAGCACAGGGAGCGACGCACCTTGAGGGAAGCACAGGGAGCGACGCACCTTGAGGGAAGCACAGGGAGCGACGCACCTTGAGGGAAGCACAGGGAGCGACGCACCTTGAGGGAAGCACAGGGAGCGACGCACCTTGAGGGAAGCACAGGGAGCGACGCACCTTGAGGGAAGCACAGGGAGCGACGCACCTTGAGGGAAGCACAGGGAGCGACGCACCTTGAGGGAAGCCCAGGGAGCGACGCACCTTGAGGGAAGCCCAGGGAGCGACGCACCTTGAGGGAAGCCCAGGGAGCGACGCACCTTGAGGGAAGCCCAGGGAGCGACGCACCTTGAGGGAAGCCCAGGGAGCGACGCACCTTGAGGGAAGCCCAGGGAGCGACGCACCTTGAGGGAAGCACAGGGAGCGACGCACCTTGAGGGAAGCACAGGGAGCGACGCACCTTGAGGGAAGCACAGGGAGCGACGCACCTTGAGGGAAGCACAGGGAGCGACGCACCTTGAGGGAAGCACAGGGAGCGACGCACCTTGAGGGAAGCACAGGGAGCGACGCACCTTGAGGGAAGCCCAGGGAGCGACGCACCTTGAGGGAAGCCCAGGGAGCGACGCACCTTGAGGGAAGCCCAGGGAGCGACGCACCTTGAGGGAAGCCCAGGGAGCGACGCACCTTGAGGGAAGCCCAGGGAGCGACGCACCTTGAGGGAAGCCCAGGGAGCGACGCACCTTGAGGGAAGCCCAGGGAGCGACGCACCTTGAGGGAAGCACAGGGAGCGACGCACCTTGAGGGAAGCCCAGGGAGCGACGCACCTTGAGGGAAGCACAGGGAGCGACGCACCTTGAGGGAAGCCCAGGGAGCGACGCACCTTGAGGGAAGCCCAGGGAGCGACGCACCTTGAGGGAAGCCCAGGGAGCGACGCACCTTGAGGGAAGCACAGGGAGCGACGCACCTTGAGGGAAGCCCAGGGAGCGACGCACCTTGAGGGAAGCACAGGGAGCGACGCACCTTGAGGGAAGCACAGGGAGCGACGCACCTTGAGGGAAGCACAGGGAGCGACGCACCTTGAGGGAAGCACAGGGAGCGACGCACCTTGAGGGAAGCACAGGGAGCGACGCACCTTGAGGGAAGCACAGGGAGCGACGCACCTTGAGGGAAGCACAGGGAGCGACGCACCTTGAGGGAAGCACAGGGAGCGACGCACCTTGAGGGAAGCACAGGGAGCGACGCACCTTGAGGGAAGCACAGGGAGCGACGCACCTTGAGGGAAGCACAGGGAGCGACGCACCTTGAGGGAAGCACAGGGAGCGACGCACCTTGAGGGAAGCACAGGGAGCGACGCACCTTGAGGGAAGCACAGGGAGCGACGCACCTTGAGGGAAGCACAGGGAGCGACGCACCTTGAGGGAAGCACAGGGAGCGACGCACCTTGAGGGAAGCACAGGGAGCGACGCACCTTGAGGGAAGCACAGGGAGCGACGCACCTTGAGGGAAGCACAGGGAGCGACGCACCTTGAGGGAAGCACAGGGAGCGACGCACCTTGAGGGAAGCACAGGGAGCGACGCACCTTGAGGGAAGCACAGGGAGCGACGCACCTTGAGGGAAGCACAGGGAGCGACGCACCTTGAGGGAAGCACAGGGAGCGACGCACCTTGAGGGAAGCACAGGGAGCGACGCACCTTGAGGGAAGCACAGGGAGCGACGCACCTTGAGGGAAGCACAGGGAGCGACGCACCTTGAGGGAAGCACAGGGAGCGACGCACCTTGAGGGAAGCACAGGGAGCGACGCACCTTGAGGGAAGCACAGGGAGCGACGCACCTTGAGGGAAGCACAGGGAGCGACGCACCTTGAGGGAAGCACAGGGAGCGACGCACCTTGAGGGAAGCACAGGGAGCGACGCACCTTGAGGGAAGCACAGGGAGCGACGCACCTTGAGGGAAGCACAGGGAGCGACGCACCTTGAGGGAAGCACAGGGAGCGACGCACCTTGAGGGAAGCACAGGGAGCGACGCACCTTGAGGGAAGCACAGGGAGCGACGCACCTTGAGGGAAGCACAGGGAGCGACGCACCTTGAGGGAAGCACAGGGAGCGACGCACCTTGAGGGAAGCACAGGGAGCGACGCACCTTGAGGGAAGCACAGGGAGCGACGCACCTTGAGGGAAGCACAGGGAGCGACGCACCTTGAGGGAAGCACAGGGAGCGACGCACCTTGAGGGAAGCACAGGGAGCGACGCACCTTGAGGGAAGCACAGGGAGCGACGCACCTTGAGGGAAGCACAGGGAGCGACGCACCTTGAGGGAAGCACAGGGAGCGACGCACCTTGAGGGAAGCACAGGGAGCGACGCACCTTGAGGGAAGCACAGGGAGCGACGCACCTTGAGGGAAGCACAGGGAGCGACGCACCTTGAGGGAAGCACAGGGAGCGACGCACCTTGAGGGAAGCACAGGGAGCGACGCACCTTGAGGGAAGCACAGGGAGCGACGCACCTTGAGGGAAGCACAGGGAGCGACGCACCTTGAGGGAAGCACAGGGAGCGACGCACCTTGAGGGAAGCACAGGGAGCGACGCACCTTGAGGGAAGCACAGGGAGCGACGCACCTTGAGGGAAGCACAGGGAGCGACGCACCTTGAGGGAAGCACAGGGAGCGACGCACCTTGAGGGAAGCACAGGGAGCGACGCACCTTGAGGGAAGCACAGGGAGCGACGCACCTTGAGGGAAGCACAGGGAGCGACGCACCTTGAGGGAAGCACAGGGAGCGACGCACCTTGAGGGAAGCACAGGGAGCGACGCACCTTGAGGGAAGCACAGGGAGCGACGCACCTTGAGGGAAGCCCAGGGAGCGACGCACCTTGAGGGAAGCACAGGGAGCGACGCACCTTGAGGGAAGCACAGGGAGCGACGCACCTTGAGGGAAGCACAGGGAGCGACGCACCTTGAGGGAAGCACAGGGAGCGACGCACCTTGAGGGAAGCACAGGGAGCGACGCACCTTGAGGGAAGCACAGGGAGCGACGCACCTTGAGGGAAGCACAGGGAGCGACGCACCTTGAGGGAAGCCCAGGGAGCGACGCACCTTGAGGGAAGCACAGGGAGCGACGCACCTTGAGGGAAGCACAGGGAGCGACGCACCTTGAGGGAAGCACAGGGAGCGACGCACCTTGAGGGAAGCACAGGGAGCGACGCACCTTGAGGGAAGCACAGGGAGCGACGCACCTTGAGGGAAGCACAGGGAGCGACGCACCTTGAGGGAAGCACAGGGAGCGACGCACCTTGAGGGAAGCACAGGGAGCGACGCACCTTGAGGGAAGCACAGGGAGCGACGCACCTTGAGGGAAGCACAGGGAGCGACGCACCTTGAGGGAAGCCCAGGGAGCGACGCACCTTGAGGGAAGCACAGGGAGCGACGCACCTTGAGGGAAGCACAGGGAGCGACGCACCTTGAGGGAAGCACAGGGAGCGACGCACCTTGAGGGAAGCACAGGGAGCGACGCACCTTGAGGGAAGCACAGGGAGCGACGCACCTTGAGGGAAGCACAGGGAGCGACGCACCTTGAGGGAAGCACAGGGAGCGACGCACCTTGAGGGAAGCCCAGGGAGCGACGCACCTTGAGGGAAGCCCAGGGAGCGACGCACCTTGAGGGAAGCCCAGGGAGCGACGCACCTTGAGGGAAGCACAGGGAGCGACGCACCTTGAGGGAAGCACAGGGAGCGACGCACCTTGAGGGAAGCACAGGGAGCGACGCACCTTGAGGGAAGCACAGGGAGCGACGCACCTTGAGGGAAGCACAGGGAGCGACGCACCTTGAGGGAAGCACAGGGAGCGACGCACCTTGAGGGAAGCACAGGGAGCGACGCACCTTGAGGGAAGCACAGGGAGCGACGCACCTTGAGGGAAGCACAGGGAGCGACGCACCTTGAGGGAAGCACAGGGAGCGACGCACCTTGAGGGAAGCACAGGGAGCGACGCACCTTGAGGGAAGCCCAGGGAGCGACGCACCTTGAGGGAAGCACAGGGAGCGACGCACCTTGAGGGAAGCACAGGGAGCGACGCACCTTGAGGGAAGCACAGGGAGCGACGCACCTTGAGGGAAGCACAGGGAGCGACGCACCTTGAGGGAAGCACAGGGAGCGACGCACCTTGAGGGAAGCACAGGGAGCGACGCACCTTGAGGGAAGCACAGGGAGCGACGCACCTTGAGGGAAGCCCAGGGAGCGACGCACCTTGAGGGAAGCCCAGGGAGCGACGCACCTTGAGGGAAGCCCAGGGAGCGACGCACCTTGAGGGAAGCACAGGGAGCGACGCACCTTGAGGGAAGCACAGGGAGCGACGCACCTTGAGGGAAGCACAGGGAGCGACGCACCTTGAGGGAAGCACAGGGAGCGACGCACCTTGAGGGAATGCGGTGCAATGTGGTGCAGTGCGGAGACTGTCACCTCTGTGCGAGCAGCTGGCGGTGTGTGGTGACACAGAGACGCTGCAGCCGCACCGACCCCGCCATGCCGCTCCTCCTCTCGCTCCGTGCTCCACTGTCACTCGCACTGCGCCCTCTCCTGCGCTGCCAATGGCTGTAGATGGAAAGGGGAGGGGTTGAGGGAGAGGGAGAGGGAGAGGGAGAGGGAGAGGGAGAGGAGGAGGAGGAGAATTAGATGGGAGAAATGCTGGCGGGATACAACAGGCGGGGCGAAATTCGGTGCGAAGGCGCGCGACGGGCCGCGGTGGGGCGCATGGAAAGGGTTACGACCGACGAGCGGGGTGGGGTGGATGAGCGCGACTGGCGTGGCGCGGCGCACCAGCTTTTGTGTGGCACGCCCCGCCCGTCTCTATGCCGCACGCGTGGCGCGCGGGTGACGTGTGTAGTCGCGCGGCAGAATAGAGGTTGCGGCGAACGGGGGACTCGGGGAGGGAGCGGCGAGAATACGTTTCGAAGAGCAGGAAGGCGGACGCCGTGTCGCGGTGACGTCAGCGCGTAAAGAGGGCGCCGGGCGGCGGAGGTTGGATTGCCCGTTTCAGGATGGTACCGCCTGCGAGGCGAGGTTCGATGCACTCTGCGTCAGAGTTTGGGCCCCGAAGCACACTTCGGAGGAAGACATGACAGCAAAGTTATGTGCATACTATCCGACTCGATTTATGTAGATGTGTTTCAAAAAAGTAAAAAAAATATATACAAATATCCTAACACAATTATTTGTAAAAATAAGTAATTTCCATAGTAAACGGCAAGAACTGGAAAATTTTGAACAGAGTATCATGCATGCATGTTTTAGGAAAAAATGTGAAGGTATGGCAATTTTCAGAACTGACACTGACCACTCTATTATCAAATAATTTCCCTTTCAGACATATCGCCACATCTGTTATTGTACATTAATATGCAAATCCTACCGTAAGCACCTATAAGCCACCAAACGCAGTTGTAGACCCCAGCATAGATTATGCAGATCGGCGTAGCTTATTTAAACTATTTTTCGTCATACCTCCTCGTCAAGGCTTCGTTTTGGATTTGGCCAACTCACGATTGCCAGTGTAACATTTTTAAAAACCCTTCTGAGCAGCAGTGTGTACTTTTTCATTACACTGATAGAGTAGTGTAACATCCAATGTTGAATTTTTTACCATGCATCATCAGTGGGGGTTATTTCCATATACTGACAGTTGTTCGTTTAGTCTTATAATAAGCCAGCTTGTCAGAATCCCACACCACACAGGACAATAATGTGACTACACTACAGCTAGAACTACATGCGCTTATATAGAACATATATCAAATATATTCTGACACAACTCTCACAGCTTAAGACAAATAAATTATAGTCATTCAATCACATGCGTGCTCGTCCTCGCTATCAGACGACTCCACTATTGCCTTGCCCTTTCCTGCATAGGGCGTGTGCGGAGCAGGTATTTTCGCGGGTCTTCTTTTCTTTTGCTTCCACCAGATCTCCACCACCTCGGCCCATTTGTACTCGTAGTCCAGCATCTTGAGAGTCATCAGCTCGGATAGACGGGCGTCTCCAAGCGACGTACGCATCCAGCTCTTGATGACATTTTGACAGCTGAATCCGCGCTCGCACTCCGCGGTGCTTAGTGGAATCACTCAGGCGCCTGCCACATCGACACCGGGTTTGGGTAGCTGCGTGGCCAGACCCTGGTCTTCATCATCTTGGCAAGCCTTTGGTAGAAGTCTGCATCCTCGTAGTGGCGCGACATGACGTGGCAGAAGCTTGTGAGTTCGAGCTCCGCCGCACGTTGGTTGAAGCCTGCCATGTAAACATAAAACAAAAACATTTTCTCCATCAGGTGTGACCAACATGGCACCAACAAACATCACATCCAACTATGAAACGTGAGCAACAACAGTCAGACTAACGAACAAGAATGAATGAACTATGAAAGAGTTGGGTACAAGTACTAACCCTAATTGGGTTGTACCCCTTATAGGCTACCCCACTATAGCCTACACAAATGTAAGGACTACAACATTCTGACACACCCCCATAGGCAAAGTGGGGGAGAAAAAGTGGTCACAAGACCAGTCAAGAAAGCAAAGCAAGCTCAGGGTGGTGTCAAACATATGTTTATATGTTATAGTTTAGGTAGGCTTTAGTGGGGTACTCACTGTGGGGTACAACCCCGTAGGTTTTCATTTTGTACCAACTCTCTCGATAGTCCATCACACCTTCTTCTTTACTTACGACATGGTATTAAGAGCGACATAGGTCCCTAGGACCGTTTTAGGACTTTTTTTTCGGGCCCACCAACCGTTTTCCGCCGGTTACCGAGTTACCCCGCCCCTTACCTACACTGCCCTACATCGCGCAGCCCTCGCGCTCGCCTCTGCTGGCCCTCGTACAGCCCGCTAGCAGCCCGCCTGCTGCCTCGTCAGCCCCACGCGTAGCCCGCTAGCTGCCCTGTCAGGCCCGCGCACCGCCCCGCAGCCCCCGCGCTGCCTTCTCCTGCCCCGCGCGTAGCTTCGCAGCCCTCGAGCTGCTTTCTACGGCCGTCGACGCGGCCTCGCCCTGCCGCGGTCGCGGCCTCACCTCGCCGCCGACGCGGCCCCGCCTGCGCGCTGCCCCCCCCCCCCCCCCCGTTGCCAGTCGCGGCGCCTGTGGGACCCGCGCGCTGCCCTGCACCAGCTACGCCGCCCCTGGTGCAGCCGCCCCTGGACCCAGAGCAGCTGCCCCTGGCCCCTGCAGCAGCCGCCCCTGGAGCAGCCGCCCCTGGAGCAGCCGCCCCTGGACCCCGAGCAGCCGCCCCTGGCCTCGGAAGCAGCCGCCCCTGGACCCCGAGCAGCCGCCCCTGGCCTCGGAAGCAGCCGCCCCTGGTCCAGCCGCCCCTGGACCCAGAGCAGCCGCCCCTGGCCCCTGAAGCAGCCGCCCCTGGACCCCGAGCAGCCGCCCCTGGCCCCTGCAGCAGCCGCCCCTGGTCCAGCCGCCCCTGGACCCAGAGCAGCCGCCCCTGGCCCCTGAAGCAGCCGCCCCTGGTGCAGCCGCCCCTGGACCCTCGAGCAGCCACCCCTGGACCCAGAACAGCCGCCCCTGGCCCCTGCAGCAGCCGCCCCTCGAGCAGCCGCCCCTGGACCCAGAGCAGCTGCCCCTGGCCCCTGCAGCAGCCGCCCCTGGAGCAACTGCCCCTGGAGGAGCAGCCGCCCCTGGAGCAGCCGCCCCTGGACCCCGAGCAGCCGCCCCTGGCCCCTGAAGCAGCCGCCCCTGGTCCAGCCGCCCCTGGACCCAGAGCAGCCGCCCCTCGCCCCTGAAGCAGCCGCCCCTGGTGCAGCCGCCCCTGGCCCCTGCAGCAGCCGCCCCTGGTGCAGCCGCCCCTGGTGCAGCCGCCCCTGGATCCCGCGACGCCGCCCCTGGACCCCGTGCAGCCGCCCGCCGAGCGCCGGCCCTGCTCGCCCGGCGAGCGCCTGCTCTTCCCGCCACTGGTGAGCACCTGCCTTGTTAGCGCGCTGCCGCGCCATCTGCCTGCCTGCCTGCCTGCCTGTCTGCCTGCCTGCCTGCCTGCCAGCCTGCCTGCCTGCCTGTCTGCTTGCCTGCCGCGCCTGCTCTGCTAGGCTACTGCTACTGGTACTGGCGGTGGCCAGATGCAGCTCCAGCGACGTCCGCGCGAGTCTCTCACGCCCCAGCAGTTAAGTGAGTGGTACGCTAGTTGGGGTTGTGGCGGTAGTCGTCGTAGCTGTCGCCCTAGAGCTGGTCAGTTGGGAGCGTCTGGCAGTGGCCAGCTGCAGCTGCAGCGGCGTCCACGCGAGACACTTACGTCCCAGCAGCTTCACGAGTGGTACGCTCAGTGTAGGGGGTCTTTGAGTACCGTTCGCTGCCCGTACGTCATTCGCACAGGTGATCGGACGGGTCAGACTTGCGGGACGCTTAGTCACACCCAGTCCCGCTGCTTTGCCCGTCTGAGTGACGCCTGGCGCACCGAGTTTGGCGACGAGGCTGAGCTCCCCGACTGGGTGGAGCTGCTTGGGCAGAGGGTAGATATCTTTGCTCTTGACTATGATGCTATTCTCACTGCCATGTATGCATTGCCTACTAGTGCTGCCAGTACCTGTTACCTGTGCGCCACGCCTGACCCAGGTATAGAGCCTGCTGCCCTCGGTGCTGGTGAGGCTGCTTCTCCAGGTGCTAGTGCGTCTCCTGCTCTGGTTGCTGGTGAGGCTGCTGCTCCAGGTGCTGGTGAGTCTGCTCTCTTTGGTACTGCGCCTGCTGAGGCCTTGTACACCTTCACACTTGACTCAGGTGCTTCCCGCTCCTTCTTTCGCGACAGCATCACCCTCACGCCGCTCAGCCGGCCGGTTCCAGTATCCCTGGCAGACCCCTCTGGGGGTCCAGTCCTTGCACGCTCCTCCACGGTCCTGCCGTGTCCGGCGGTCCCGTCTGGCTCCCTGTCAGGTCTTCACCTCCCCTCGTTCTCTACGAACTTGGTGAGTGGTGCTGACCTCCAGGACCAGTGGGTTGACCAGTTCACTCCTGGAGGTCAGCGCGTGACCCACTGTACGTGCTCCCGGACGGGCCGGCACCTGGCCACGTTTACCCGTGCACCTGGCTTGAGTTTGTACACACTGACTACTGTGTCCCCTCAGGTCGCTGCGTCTGCGTCTGCGTCAGGTCAGCTAGCGGCCCCCTGCTCGTGTCGCGCTTTGTCGCACCAGACCCTCCTTTGGCACCACCGCCTTGCTCACCCCTCGGTGCAGCGCCTTCGTAACATGCACCGCCGTGTCCTTGTCTCTGGTCTTCCCAGGGTTCTCCCTCCCCTCCCACCCTCGCCTGCTCCTCCCTGTCTTCCCTGTGTCGAGGGGCGGCAGCACACCGCTCCTCACTCCTCCTCGTTCCCTCCCACAGAGGCTCCCCTGCAGACTCTCCACCTGGACGTGTGGGGCCCAGCCCGCGTCCGTGGACAGGGCCACGAGCGGTACTTCCTACTGGTCGTCGACGACTACACGCGTTACACCACGGTCTTCCCCTTGCGCACCAAGGGTGAGGCCCCTGATGTTTTGCTCCCTTGGATCCGCGCTGCTCGTCTCTAGCTCCGCGAGCGGTTCGGGACGGATTTTCCCGTCCTGCGT